CTGGTCTCCATGGAAAAGAACATCTAATTGTTACTTGGGAGAATGGTGGTCAAGAGATTTCATTACACAGTTATAAAACATGGAAGGTGCCAAAGTTGTTATTGCTGTCAGTGTCCCTGAATTTTGAAAGTCACGGCCATAGAAAAACGATAAACTACAGGTACTGTATGAAATCATCTAGAACTTAAAAACTGATGACATTTCCTTTGATTGAATTCGTTCAGATATATCATGCCAACATAGTGGTCTACAGCTATCACTACTTGCTGGATCCTAAAATTGCTGAACTTGTTTCAAAAGAACTGGAAAAAACATCAGTTGTAGTCTTTGATGAGGCTCATAATATTGGTGAGGAACTTGAGATTTTTTACAAACAGTATGTGTATATAATCCATTACGCCACCAAAACATATGTTTCTCACGTAGGGGACAGTAATGTAAGGTAAGGGCTTACAAATCAAAATTTCAGATCAATTTGATTACAAAAGATTATTTCATACCAATCAGCCCTGTTTACAAGACTGCAGAACACGATATATTGACTCTTACTTATCAAGCCTTTAATAGTAACACCCCTGTATATATCAAGAATCTACTCAATGAAAGAGATATTTCTTACAACCTACGTGGCCAACGTCTTCTCAATGTCCCCAGGGTTAATACTACAAACTATGGCTTACATTCTTTCTGTTATTCAGCCTGTAAACTCTGGAACTCGTCACCAAACCCACTTAGAACCACCCCTGCGGCAAAAGCATTTAAACTGGCTGTGAATCGAATTAAATTTAATCGGGATTGTTGTTCTTTTTGTAATTTAGCTTAAAATTTTAATATCTTCTGTACATAATTTGTTTGGTCTATTTAATTTTTTATTTTTTTATATTGTCGAAGATATTAGCATAGTTGTTTGCTATCTGTAATTTGAAGTTAAATAAAGGTTTTCTTTCACATTCACCATATTAACTCTTTAACCATCAAGAGTGATCAATATCTCATTTCTCCTAACCATGCTAACCCTGAATCACATGTTACCACTGGGAGAATAAAGGAAATGATCACCAATCAAAAAAGCTCTTGATTGTGAAATAAATTCTCCTTGTCAGCACCCTAGGAAATGTATAGAGAACAGTATGGAGAATATTCATACTGATGTTAGGGTGAAAAGGGTTAAGTTCAGCTGTAGTTGGTTTGTTTTGGAGAGACTTAATCATCGCAAGACCAAGACTAATGGGCCATGTGAGAAGTCTTACTGCTAGCAGTGTTTAAATGGGTTAAATCTGTTTAATATTTTAACATAACCAAAGTAAAGTGCATGCTCTGATTGGTCAATCCAGCATTCACTATTTGCCCATGGGCATACACTGCTGATGTGAGCAAATGCAAAGACTAATTTTTCGCACGCACTTGTTTTTTCTGGTCACGTACGATTTGTTAAATTAAAAGAAAACTCCTTTTGCTAAAATATATCAATGTTATGTTATAAAACAAATGGTAAATTCCACAGTGTACACTGTTGAGTTATGGATGCACTTGGGAGGTTTGCTAAGCACTCAAGAAGCTAGTCACTCTTGGCCATCGCCTCGTGTGACTCTTACACTTCTTTCATGCTTAGCAACCTCCTGCGTGCATCCAGAACTCAATAATGTATGCTGTGGGGTTTACCATATGTTGAATTGCAGCCATAAATTCTTGTTGATCACATGTAATTAGTTATGATACTGCTAGGTAAAATATAAGGGAAATTTGTTGAAATTAAATTTTGTTGTGTGAAGATGCTCAGTGATAAGACATACCCTGAGCCCAGAGCAGTTTTAGAGTGTACAGAGTGGGTTTCACAGAAAAAATGCTGTGCTCCATAACCTGAAAAATACAGTATTTCTTTTTCAAAACCAATGACAATATTTTTTGATTTGCAGATAATGTATGCATTGAATCCTTGAGTGTAACAATTTCAAGAAGAACACTTGATAGAAGTCATGCTAATGTGGAAAACTTAACTAGGACTGTTAAAAAGTGGGTATTTTTCAGTTCACCTTGCTCCTCCCAGAGAAGTTTTTTGCCATTTTAATTCCCCCTTCCACCCCACTCAAGTGCCACTTATCTAGAATCCCACAATGTGAAAGTTGCATTTTGTAAATGCCAAACTTTTCACAATTTTACGTTATGTGCCAAGCTTGATTTTCTTTTTTAAAACTTGCTTTTAAAGAGGAGGCAGTAATTGAAGGGTTGTATGGCATATTTATGATTATTTTCTTTCTTAAGTCTGAAACAGAAAGATGCCACAAAACTGAGGGAGGAGTACAGCCGTCTTGTTCAAGGTGTGAATGTGTGTGGGGCAGGATTAAACCAAACTAGTGTGGCCTAAGAGGAAAAAAAAACTGCCATGATCATCCATCCATTTTAATATGTACGAATTCCATTTAACCAAGAAAAAAAAAATGACAGCTGTATCTGTTTCTCAGGCTAGGTCAAATGCCAAAATGGCAATATTTTGGTTGGAATGTTTGTTATTGTAGGTGAATGTGATGAGCTCCAGTGTACCTCCTCCAGTCATTTTGCAAACAACCAAGATGCAACTGATACATGACTGGCAGAAGATGCCAAAATGATTGTGATGTTTTTATCTTTTGTGATGGTTGTAGGTTTACGGGATGCAAGTGTTGCAAGAGAAACTGATGTGGTATTGGCTAATCCAGGTACAGGCTTAAGAGAAATTTCTTATGGCGCATCAAAAGTAAACAAATGTTGTAACGCTTTGGTTTTGCATTTCTTAACCTCATTACTGGTTTGGAAAACTTGTCTTACCCCCACAACCAATTGTCCCTTTTACAGTTGTGGGCTTGGTGACCAAGCCTTTGAACAGGAGTGAGGCTAAGGGTGACCCTGTTGTGATAGAGACCTGTATCTACTTAGCATGATAACAAAGAAATTTGCATTTGAAAGCAGCAACATCTCTGTGATGACAAGGTCACCCTTAGTCTCACTCCTGTTCAAAGGCTTGGCCACCAAGCCCACAACTGTGAAAGGGACTATTGGCTTTGGTTTTTAATTAGCATATTAAAGCAATGAGATGCAGGAAAAAGTTTTGGTGTACATACCTGTACCATGATCATAGTTACCAATTATAACTGTCAGGGGTGAAATTAAAGTAGTCATTGTTATCAGTCAGTAATTCATTTCCTTTTTGCTTTTTTGTAGTTTTACCAGATGAAGTCCTGGAAGGTGATTAACAGTGCTTGCTTGCCTTAATTCTCCTTTTATTTAATTGATTGAACTGTATTTTAATTAACTAATATATATCTTTACATTAAATGTTTGATAGTTGATGTTAAGGAGAAGATAAGAGATATTTTAGCAAGGGAAAGAAATTTTCTCCAAAAATTTCTTGATCATCACAGGGTTGTCATTCTCCTTAATTGCCTACGCCAGTAATTGAAAGAGGTATACATGTTTTTATTCCTTTCCAATGCAACTTTCAACAAGGATCCAACTTCAAAAGAGAAGTGGATAATTTGATTACAAACCAAAGACCAAATCACATGAAGTCAAATGTACGGTGTTTAGAAGTTTTCCCTTGGGAAGATTATGTTACTTTGACTGACATCTGTCCTGGCACTATTTTGTCATCAAACTCAAGTAAATTTCAAATGAATTTAAATGAGCTAAACCATTTGCTACTTGTCTGCTAAATAATTATTATACATGCCTTCTACCCATTAAGATCCTTGGGGAATTATCAACAACATTTTTTGTTTTTTTTGTTTTTTTGTTATTATTATTATTCAGAGGCAGTACCTGGAAATATTAGACAAGCTGAACATTTTGTAAATTTTATGAGAAGGTTTATTGAGTATTTAAAGGTTTGTTACATGTTGCTCCTACTAAAGATGTTCAGGTTTATTAGCTTTTTGCAGATAATTTACCACACAAATTTTTAAGTTATTTGTGCAATCTGAACATACTTTAACTTCTGACTTCAAGACATAACCCTCAGCAGCTATGGACTAATCAAAGGAAACTAAAAGTTTGTTTTCTGTTATCATATTGATGATCATGCTTTTACCATCATATTAATTTACCAGATGAGTGTAACGAGAAAAAATGTGAGCAAAATTTGGGATTTTGTTTGTCATTTTATGAAAAACATATTTTGAAGTTAATGCGGCTAGATTTGCAAAACTAAACTTAAAGAGAATGTGGGTAAAGGTAATGTCAAGCAAGAGTATTGCAGAATTAAATATATTCTGAGTTGGTTTGAGGTACAACATTAGCTATCATGCTCATAATTTCTTCTTTGTTTCCCATGACAATAACATGATCTTCCATTATTTTTTCAGACCAGGCTAAGAACACAGCATGTTGTACAAGAAAGTCCTCCATCTTTCCTGCAGCATATTTTCCAACAAGTCTGTATTGAAAGAAAACCTCTCAGGTATATGCAGATAGGTAACCCTTTCCACCCTAACATCAGTATGCATATTCTCCATACTGTTCTCTAATACATTTCTAAAGGAATTGACAGGGAGAATTTATTGAACAATCAAGAGCTTGGTTAGGTAGCAATCATTTTGTCTCTTCTCATGACCTTTTGTTTGATTCAGGGCCGGTATTGTGTGGAGAAATTAGATGCTGGTCACTCTCTGCTGGAATTAAAGGGTTAATCAACCACTTGGCTGGTTGATCAATCAGACAAATGATTGGTTAGTCAGTCAATCCATCCCCTCCATCTTTCAATTGTCCTAGTGGACTCATGTTGTCGACCAATTAAAGTTTTAATCCAGTACTTAAATGGTTTGAACCTGGGGTTAACTTGTGATAGTGTAGTCTGATCATACGAGTGAGTGTGCTTCTGAGAAGGACTGTTGTCAGTAGTTGTGTCTGAAGTTTTGAAAACCTTAGCAGAAGTCATCATCAGTCATATTATTCATGGTTAACAACCTTAATCTTTTATTTTTGAAGATTTTGTGCAGAGCGGTTGAGTTCTCTGCTATACACGCTAGAACTCCCTGATGTTCAAGACTATGGTCCTTTAACATTGATTGCCAACTTTGCTACTCTAGTCAGTACCTACAGCAAAGGTACAGCTTACTTATCTCACATGTATATCCATATTGTTGTTTAAAGTAACAAGTAAAATCCACACTTGATATGAATGAGCTGTGTGCTGATAAAACTTGTTGATCAAATCTGAAGCTTCTGTGGAATCCTTGAACTTAGTCCACTGTTGGTTCAAGCTGTGCATGAACCACCATGTTAAAAAACAGTCTGTTTTTCAGATGTTACTGTCTTGTGCTATTTAAACATGATTAGGTTCCCTCTCTTTGCTTTTAAATTGAGTAACTCACATTCATAATGTCACAGAAAGTTACAAAAAAATAGTTTAATGGACCTAATTCCCAGCAAATGTTCCTTATACCTCTATTAGGTTTTCTGAACTGTAGTTATTTGTAGTAAGGGCTCTTTAGAGTGCTATTCAATCAGATGGAGCTTCATGTTTGATTTGTTTGAACAGGGTTAACACTGATCATTGAGCCATTTGATGATCGCACACCAACCATACCCAATCCAATCCTGCATTTCAGGTAATTGTAAGTGATTCTCCAGTTTATCTGTTCTGTGATTTTATTTAAACCACTGTTAGTAATGCTTGATTCTACTCAGGCTTTGGGTGTGATTTTCTTATACACTGAAATTTTCAAACTGATTCTAGAACAGTCAACATTCTACTTCGAGTTCATACAGTTGTGTTATCCTTGTATTTCTTCCTTTTTTCCATCTTAGCTGTATGGATGCTTCCATTGCTATAAAACCTGTTTTTGACAGATTTCAGTCCGTGGTTATCACATCAGGGGTATGATGTCATCCTAGCTTATCTTTGATTTACAATTTATTTGCATGTTAGTAGACGCTAATTCAAGACCTGAGAAATGAGACAAGTGCAATTTTTTAATGAAATTTTAATAGAAGAATACAGATATCATAGATGAGTTTTGTTTGTAAGATTCAGTGTGTAAATTAATTATTGCAGAGTTCTTTATTAGTAGCAGTCAGCACTGGTCTGAGTGACATTACCAAGATAAAAGACATGATTGTGTGTAGTTTTACATTTTGTGTAATCTTGTCATAGCTGATCTTCTTAAACTGTTTTTCTTTTCTTTTGACCTCTCTAGACTTTGTCACCCATAGACATGTATCCCAAGATTCTTGACTTCAGGCCGGTGACCATGGCAACTTTCACCATGACACTTGCCAGAATTTGTTTGTGTCCCATGGTGAGTGAAGCATACTCAAAATATATAAACAGTGTTGGGAAAAAAGAGGATGTGTTTCCATAAGTACTGGACCTGCTAAAGAAACAACCATCAATCTGTGGTCAATTTAAAGCCAACTGGCTTTTACATGCACAATGAATAAGTTTCTTCACTATGGCAGCAAATCCTTCTCTATTTGTGCAACAGAACGTTAAAATTGGAACCTGATAACTCGAGACAAATTTCTCCAAACATATTGGATACATTTTCAAACATGAAAGTGATTAGAAGAAAGAAAAACATCTAGTGGGGAATATTGTTTTATTGAACTCTTACCTCTCAGAGATGAAATTATAAGAAATGTATGACAGATAGTGTGGGGAAGTGAGATTTGGATCATGGGAGTGAAAAGGTGAAGAGATGTTTCAAATGTAATCTGCTTTTGGTGTTTTTTTATTCGCAGATTGTTGGCAGGGGAAACGATCAAGTAGCCATTACGACTAAATTTGAAACAAGAGATGATATGTGTAGGTTTTCCAAGTTAAATCATACGCATTTGCATTGTCCTTTTAAGCTCAGAGCACAACGTGAAAGCGGTGATACATGATATTCAGTTTCCTCTTGATTCTCCGTTAGCTGTCATTCGTAACTATGGCAACCTCTTAGCTGAGATGTCAGCCGTGGTGCCCGATGGGATTGTTTGCTTTTTCGTCAGCTATCAGTACATGGTAAGATAGCATTTACTCCTCGTGCAGGAAAACTATTCATTCATTGCTTTTACTAGCTCAACAATTTAACCAGACAAATCAGCAGGAGCTGTAGGAGGATGATGATCAAGTATCGCTTAAGTATCCAATATTTTTGCCTCTTTATTTTTACCCCTCCTCATTCAAATAATTGTTCTTTTGCGTGGAAAAGTTCGTGTCATCAGCATTCGGACTTGTGTTTAGAGTAAAGCTTAAGGTCTCCTTTCCTACAAAATATACGCATAGACCAATTGTCATTTGTTTGTCATTCTTTTATTTTATCAACATCTGGATTTTTTTTGCTCGATGCAGGAAGCAGTGGTGTCCATTTGGAATGATCAAGTAAGAAATTTGAGTATCATTCCATTTTCAGTCTCTAAAGGATAAGCTTATAACATCAATTTTCCTGTGGATGATAACTTCACGAAGTTTTGTTTTGTTCTCAGGGTATAATCAGCAACATTCAGAGAAATAAACTGCTCTTCATTGAAACTCAAGACGCAGCAGAAACTAGTTTAGCCCTTCATAATTACCAGCGGGTGAGTTACGAATAAATAATTTAAGTACCAAATTTTGATAAGACTTCATACATTGTTTTTCCTCTCTCGTTTTCCCAGGCTTGTGAAAATGGAAGAGGTGCCATTTTACTTTCAGTTGCCAGAGGAAAAGTTTCAGAAGGAATTGATTTTGGTAATCAAATGACAAATTAGAACTATTTTCAGTGGAGTGTGAGATATTTTTCATCAAATAGAATGATAAGTACATTAAGTTTTGAGCTCGGTAAAGAAATAGAGAAAGATGTTTTTCGTCTTCAGCTCGGTAAAGAAATAGAGAGATTTTTTTTGTCTTGTCACAAGTGTGGGACAGAGGAAAAAATCTGAGTTCGTGGAGAATTTCTAAATTCGGTTCGATTCCTCATGGGTACTCAGAATTTTTTTGTCCCACACTCGTGACGAGACGAAAATCATCTTTTTCTGTACGTTCATTGTTGTGATTGGCTAATGTGACTCCTTCGTTTTTGGTTTAACAACACCCACTCAAAAAAAGCTCTTTCTCTTCCGCATATACTTCTGTAACTATAATTCCAAAAGCACTTAGCGTCTTTCACATTGAAAGAATATTGTCGCAACCATTATGAGCAGCGATCTCTGGGTCGCTTCTTTTGTTGCTCGTTTGGTCTATTGTTGATTGATTGGTTAACGGTTTTTTTGTTTTTTTTTGTTTTTTGTTTTTGTATAATTTTTTGTTTCCTAACCATATTTCTTTGATATTAGTGTTCGAGCAATTTTGAGTTGAGTGTCGAAGGTTTACCTTAACCAAGCTCTGTGATTGGTCCAGAAAACTTACGCCAGCCTCCACACCCTCTCGTCCAATAAGAGGCAAAGTCAAAGCAACCGCGCCTCGGCCGTTCGTATTATTCCTCCCATGTCTGTTTGTACTTGGGAATTCTCATTGTCTCCCAGAGACGTTTGCCTTTGTCTTAATTGGATGTTGGGATAAATTTGTTCATGGTTCCACTACACTCAATCTGAAAGGGCATTAAGATTAAGGTGAAAGCTCACCTAAATTCCTTTGTTCTTTGCAGACCATCACTATGGTAGGGCCGTTATTATGTTTGGAATTCCATATGTCTATACTCAAAGTAGGATCCTAAAGGTGAGTGACTGGAACTTGTCGCATTTTAAATTTTTTCGTTTTTCATTCACCTTTGAAGTCAGACATAAGGAAGAGCTTTTCCTTCCATGTACACATTTTTATTCCTCCAACCGGAGTATTCGACATCTAACATATATCTGAAGCTTTCAGCATTAAATTTCACGATAGTTTTCAGTGCAAAAAGAAAAAACAAGACTGTTGAATTACGTGCATGGAAGTTTGCCCTGAAGTTTAGTTAGTTTGAAGATCGTGCACTAAATCGAGTTATTAAATCATGAAATGTGCATACGTACACCGAATTTAGCATCACTTGATATACTTGCGTCTGAGAGTCAGTGTATTATGGTTTACATGATATATATTTGTTAAAAGGCCCGCCTTGAGTACCTCAGAGACCAGTTTAACATCGGAGAAAATGATTTCCTTACTTTCGATGCAATGAGACATGCTGCTCAGGTACGAATCAAACAAAAAATAATTATCGATCTAAACGACATAGTCACCATTCAAGTTCTAAAGAGTCACACTGGGTTTTAACTCAATCCAGCAAATCAGGTTTTTCTAGCATTGTGGGTAGCCTAGGTTACAGGCTCTGAGTCGGAGGAGACGAACGAAAGCGCCGCTGACCCCCTCTCCCTTCTGTGCGCGCCCGCTATTTTGCTCGTTTCAACGAATCGAGATCCTGGAGCACGCTAAATGGCATGTGCAGCGGATTGCTACAATCATCCAGATCCATGAAAATCCATCAGCGGGATCGAACCGTTTGCGAGACCTCAGTGATAGTTTTTCCTTATGTTGATGCAAAGATCAGTTCAGTTACCTTTATGCAGCAAAGTATGATTGCTTTTGGTGGAAAGATTCTGTCTTTAATTTTGGTTTGAAGAGCGTGGAATTTATGGTATTCTGTTCAACTGTTGTGATTCTTTACCACTTCGGTAAACTTATCTTTCATTTGCTTTTCTGATATCTTAGTGTGTTGGCCGTGCTATCAGAGGAAAAACAGACTACGGAATCATGGTGTTTGCTGATAAGGTATGGACAAGAAGACAAATTTGTGAACTTCACGAGCTTTCCCCCCCGCAGGTTTCCAATCTACTTAGCGTGAATGGTTACTGTCTGTTTTCTATTTGAAGTTCGCATTTGTGTGTTCCATTTTTACCAGCCTCATTCCTCTTAGGTCTAATACGGCCTCTTTGGTGTCTGTCTTCACTGGCAAGCTGTTAAAGTTTCCTTTGAGAAGCCGGAAGTTTTCCAGCAAAGTGTAAACTTTTTAGACAATTTATTTGTCAGTTTGGTATTGACGCTAACTATTTTTATTATAGTTATTGTTATTAATATTATAGTTATTACTATTTTTATCATTTTTATCATTGCAGTTCTTATTATTCACCATTCATTTTTTGCAGAGATTCTTCAAAGTTGACAAAAGGGGCAAACTTCCCAAGTGGATTCAGGTAAATTAAAGGTGGAACTTAATGTCCTAGGCGTTAGATGTTATGAAAGAATCGATTAACAATCCTTTGATTTAGGTCTTTGTTTGTTGGCTCGCTTGCTCTTAAGGAATAAGACTTCCCGATCTACAATATGCAACAAAATGATTTGACTCATAACACCAAAATGATTTGACTCATAATACCCACTTTTGAGGGAATATTTTAAAATGAGATCGAATTGAATTGGATTTCACTTTAGTACCCTCTACTTCCTTTCAACTTTGCACAATCACAGAACACACAGCGCAGCATTGCGTACGGGAGAGATAAAATGGGTATGCTTTTCCAGAATTGCGATTTCTGTGATAATGTGTCAAACACCTTGTCGCTGATTTAAGGCTAGAACTAGGTTCATATTTAACATGTGTCCTGTTTACCGTTAAGATCAGAATTGTTAAAAGCTAGAAAGATGGAAGATCTTGAGTTCGGTTTTTGAGGAAAGAAATAAGTTGTTTGTTTTGTCACGAGTTTGGGACGAAGGTGAAACTCCTAACCCCATCCCCCCGTCCTTCCCCTCCCCTCCTCTCACCTTCCCTCCCCTCCTCTTCCCTTCCCTCCCCTCCTCTCCCCTCCCCTCCTCTCCCCTTCCCTTTCCTTCTTTTCCCCTTCCCTCCCCTCCTTTCCCCTTCCCTCCCCTTCCCTCCCCTCCTCTCCCCTTCCCTCCCCTCCCCTCCTCTCCACTAGAATCGAACTTCAGGTCCAGGTAAAAGCTTCTTGATTACTTCAAGGCGTGGTCAGTACAGCCAATTCCCTTTCATTGTGTTATAGGAGTACTTGAAAGAAGGAGTGTGCAACCTGTCTATTGATGAAGCAGTTCAGGTAGGAATACGTACCATTTAAAAAGCCTGAATTTAGATTAGGCCTGCTTTTCCGGCGAACAGAGGTGACCGCGAAAGTCCCTAATCAGAAAATTTGATCGCTTTAAAATGTGCAGATACCTGAAGTTTACGTATTTATCATATTATTTCTTTTAACTAGATCAGTAAGAGATTCTTGAGGCAGATGGCGCAACCGTTTGACCAGGTAATTGTCTCTTTTCCTAAAATTCAGGTGTGTGCTAACGTATCCGACACGGCGCTTGATGAAGCTAGTGAGCTTTCTTTTGTCACGGTTCTTTAACGAAAAGTATTCCAGTGTGAAAACTTATAAATTTAAATATGACGAGTAATGACCCAGTATTTTTCGAATCTTGAAAGTTATTATTCCATAATTGGTGCAGCTCCCTGAAATGCTTGATAGAAACGAGTAAGGCTTCTAATTAAAGAAGCCCCGTCGAAGGGCGGTTGTGTTGTGAGTGACAGAGGTAGAAACAATTGGACGAAAGAATAGAAGAGCGAGTCAAGACGTATTTGAGTGAAAACTGGTTTGTAGGTAACTTGCGTCATTGTTAAGCTGTTGTCACAACTTATTCGTCCCCTATATGTTAGTAACTGTTTCTTTCCCCCTCGATCACAGGAGGATCAGCTTGGCCTCTCACTTCTTACTGTTGAGCAGGTGCAATCTGAGGAGTTTCAAAAAAGAATCCTACAGTCAGCCGTGGCATGAATGTGTAAGGAAGTGGACCTACATTAAGCTCGAGGCTGGCGTCCAAACGTAGACCATCACATTAAGTGTACTTCCGAGGAGAGATGACGGTGGAGACTTTTTCACGAAGCGCCAGAAAAAGATTACAGAATACGAGAGGGAAATGCAAGATCTAAGAGTTTACTATTTGAACTTTCAATTCGACAGACCATTAAAACTTTGCAGAAAGTTAACACCATTCTAAGTGGGTAAACGACCTCTGTAATTCGTCAGATTAAACGGGAAATTTGGAGTTGAGTTTCTGCTGACCTTGTACTTGGATTGAAGCAGACAACAGCGAGCAAACTAAAAGACCCAAACTTGTTTGTTTTTTTTTTTTACCCCAGTAGACAAAAGGTGATAATTCATTCCGTTTGTAGTTAGAGTTTGCGTCTGAATCGTCAAACTTTGTTTCGTTGTTAACCCGGCTCTAATCGTGCCTACATATTTTTTGAGTCATCTTTGGTCTGATGTTAAATTGTGGATCATTATATTACTTTACTCTGTAACAAAAGTAAATGTGTTTTTTTTCTTACCGCATTTTGATGACGTCTTTGGTCTTTTACTGAACAGACGTAGGGTAAAATTGAGTCTTAGTAAATAGACCAATTCCAAGATTCTGAACAACCTCACTTTCAAAAGGAGGCTAATACGTGCCAAACTTTTCTTGCAATAATGTGTTCTGTTTCCTTGATGATAAAAATTCATTTTTATCATCGGCTTCGTACCCGGCCTCGTTTTGAAAATCTTGCGAATGTCTTTTCTCCCTTCTCTTTATTGGATTCATATGAATTTATTTCGGTTTGGCACCTCTCGTCGTTAAAAAACCTTTGCAATCATTGTATTTATCGGAGACAAACCGATGACAGATCTTTCACAAGCTCTGAGTAGATTTTATCGGTATTGTCTTGACAAATTTATATTGCTGAAAGCACTTTGAATTTCTGCTAATTTTCATTTTGAAATAGCGGGGTTGATTTTTCAAACTTCTTTTTTGGAAACAGACTCTGGCTCTGAGAAAGGCTTCAGGAGGGGGGCCGGGAAAATCTCGAGTCAGTACACCAGCATCTAGCATTTCTTTTTATCAAATGTTCTTGCATGGTACATAAATTTCCTGATGGAAAAATCATTCCCTCTTACACACGTGGTTGATTTTCATAAATGCCAGTTTGGAAGGTGTTTGTGTGGATTTACCATTCTCTGCGTATTTTCTCCACACAAGTTCCTTTACATATTTTTCTTTCAACTTCGTGCCCAGTCTTTTTAGCGCGTGCCTTCGTAGAGGTTGCGTGAGTATACTGTTTACATTTGACAATCACGCGACTTGGATTACCATGCGGTAATCTCCAGATTGTAGTTTGTAGGTAGATATTAAGCTACCAAAATAGATTTTTAACCTCCAAATTAGTCTCTCCATTTCCTGGACTATCAGCTACATTGTAAGGGTGTAAACAACATCCTGTTTCCGCATAGGACCATTCCGCGTCGCGTAAGAAACATAGCGATTCGTGGATTTTATCAGCTCGATCTGTGATTGGCTACTGACCAACAGCGTTCCCTCGACGCCTGAGGACAACTCGAGGCTCCTGCGAGGTCGAAGAACGAACGCGTTCATCTATCTAATTTTGTGAATTATCGCTCTTCAGGGTAAATTTAACGATGTCAGACTCTGGCGACTTTCGTGACCAAGACGAAGAATCTGAAACAGCGGTAAGAATGGTTTCTTTTGAGGTGGTCGCGAAACAGGTCTCTGATACGAATTGCAAAATGTCGAACCCTGTCAGATTTTCAAAATTTCGAGTGTCTTAATTATAATATACTGTCAATGTTATTATTTCAGGTGAATACAGCTAAGCGGAGAGGGAGAGGAAGGAAGAGAACTCCTTCAAAATTTAGTTCAAAGGTAACTTCTAAACACGGTTTCTTTAGTAGTTTCCGCGCAGAATACGTTGTTGATAACAATGGCTGCGTCTTGGTCGCGGTAGAGTTGGTTTCTCCGCAGGTTTCTTTGTGAACGCGCACTGACCTAACAAGCTCTCTGTGATTCGCTCGGTATCCATAGCAAAAGTTCTCTGATTTTCAATTCCAGGTAAAAGTCGAATAAATAGACAACTGACTNCTACTACTACTACTACTACTACTACTACTACTACTACTACTACTACTACTACTACTACTACTACTGCTACTGCTACTGCTACTGCTACTGCTACTGCTACTGCTACTGCTACTGCTACTACTACTGCTACTCCTACTGCTACTGCTACTGCTACTGCTACTGCTACTGCTACTACTACTACGACTACTACTCCCTCTCATATCAAACGTTTTCACATGAACAAAGAATCAATCTGCAGGCTTTGGCAAGTGGCCGTGGAGGCCCAATTCTCTAAAGTGTCCTTTGTACACACAAATGCCACAATCATAGCATTTAGTTCAGCCACTGTAAAACGAAGAACCACCTCTGGATTGAACAATATGGTAAATTTTCCTTTCATGAACAGCTTCTTCCTTCAAGCAATTGTGCAACAATTATTTTGACTTTGGGCCTAGCAAATAAAAAAAGACATTTCACAACAAGATTTGATAGCCATAACATTTCATGGCTGCTTGGGTTGAAAGTTTAATTTTAAAATTTTAAATTTTCTTGCTCGTATTGTCTCTCCTACACAGTATGCTCAAAGAGAAAATTTTTACCTTACGATTTGATGATGTATCCACTATACATCAAATGAGATGGAAGCATACATTATAATCTTCTGATGAAATATTATCCCTGTAGTAAAAGAGTTTTCAAGTCCCCATAACTTTCTATTATCTTGCATTAGCATTAAAAAAAAAATCCATTGATCTAACCAAAAGCTTAATGCTGGAGCTCATGAATTCAGAATGACCATTTATCTCATGCAACTAATCAAATAGGGTTTTACATTACCAGACTTATTTACCAAGCTCTGCTAAATATGCCAAGTTGGAAATGCATAAAAAATTCAGCATTTAGAGGTTGTGGATGCCACTCCTAATCTTCATAGATTAGGTTTCTTTTCTTTTTTCTTTTTTTAATAATGATATCAAACTTTTTAATTTTTAGTTTTTTAGGTAAATAGTCCTTTAATGTATGTAGATATGCTTGCATACATGGTTTATTGATTATTGATTTTTTTTTTTTTTATATAATATATTTTTCTAAAATTTATTTGTTGAGTGTTTTTAACATGAGCCACCGGCTTGGAAGATCGAGCAACCACTCCATACATTAACGACTTTAAATAAATAGTTTATTTGTTTATAACAATAACAATAACATTTATTATTTGTATTGCGTCTTTTCTATAAAATATTCAAAAGCGCATCACAACAGTAATTAATAACTAAAATTATACAATCCTTTCTATAAAAATGATAAATTAT